CACACACACACACACACACACACACACACACACACACACACACACACACACACACACACACACACACACACACACACACACACACACACCGTTAATGGCCTGGGCGTCTCAGATTTCTGCCTCCACACTCCGATACAGTGGAGGTGGAAGAAGTTTGGTTCATAGTGCTCACAGCATTGATACAAATATATATTTTAAAATCTAAAGAGCAGCTGGCATTTTTATGGGAACTAGCTTTCTACCTGTGGAGGCAGATTACTGTGACGGATTGTGTTTACACATAATCTCCTTAAGTGTCGGGACTTTATCCAGATCATCATCGTTGATTAGAAGACCTTGCAGACGGTTTGTATCTCCCTCTATTCTTCTGACTGTGACTGCATTAATCCCATTGTTAGGAGACAGCAGGTTACTCCACTGTATACATCCGATGGAACGCAAACAATAAAAGCAGCAAGGCTTTTTTGAATGCTTTGAGCAGAACAAACTGAAACGATGGTGGTGGCAGAAGCTTCATAGAAAGATATATACAGACCTCAGCATGACCAGATACCAATAGTAGTTAGAAAATGTTTGTGATTTGGAAGTATGGCAAGAGACTTTTGTTTTCTTAGCAAAGAAAGACATTCAAATGTATTATCTCAAGACAAACAACAATAAAAGCCTCTACAAGTAATGAATGCAAAATATTACACAAAGGCGAACATGTGAAACAAACGTTTGCTGTGTGATTCCTTAGTCACTTGATAAATATTTTATTCACTTGTTATATGGTTGAAAACTTTGGTTTAATTTAATACTCCTTTAGTAGCTTGACTAAAACAATGTAACGCACCCAAAAACCTAAAGGTGAGTGTTTGTGTCTGGTCTTTAAGGGGTTAAATAAAATTCCAACTTGTGTCGAGTCTCAAATCTTAACTACAGGACCTTCATTAAAACCTTGAACCATGTGACCTGGTGTAATAAAACAAAGTCCCAGCAGCAGCATCATGAATGGTCCTGAAGTTAGAGCGATGGAAGCTTCACTTCTATTTGAATGACTTCGTACCAACAAGCCGTACGTCCATATTGACAGACTTCGCTACCTTTTGATTTCTCCGTCAGTGTTTCACAAACACAGATGGTCCGACGCACCACAACACGGCTGTTTTGTGAGATGAATCCTGACTTTTATAGTGTCCCGTAATGTTCTTAATTTTCATGCCAGCAAACACTTCCTGCGCGTAGGCATTAAATAATAATTCATTTTCCAAATGGAGAAAATCTCAATGTTGGCATGAAACTCTTATCTCATTTCTCAGTATAGTGTCCTAATCTACAAGACTTTACTCTCATCTGCATGTATTTAACTCCAGGGTTAACTGAATTCCTTCTCATTAGAATTCACAGCCTATCCACAATAACTGGTGTAACAGCCCACTTTCATCATCATCGGGCCCTCACGGGGTCCCAGCTGAATGTACACTGCGCTGACCCTCATTGGGTGTACTAGACCTGCACTACACTACAAACTTCTTCCTCCTAAGTGAGTCTCCTGGGCTTGATGAAAACTAATGGAAGCACCTTTAAGAGTTTAGACTGAGACATGATGTAAAACAGATGGTGTGAGGAATATCTATCAATACACACTCTTAGACATACGGGTTCCAAAGGGGTTCTTCCTGAAGGGCTGAGGTTCTTTGCAAGACTTACAGCCAAAGAACCCTTTTTGGAAGAAAGGGTTCTTCAGGGATTGTTGGAAGCATTGGTGTTAAAGATCCTCGCAAGTGTAAAGGAAAAACAGTCGACGCAAAAGATATTTAATAATTTACCAACGTTTCGGGGTTTTTTACCTTGAAGAAGTCTCCTGTCAAAATGTAGGTAAATTATTAAACATCTTCTTAGGGTAAAAATGTAAAGTTTATGTGTGGGCACGATTGAGAATCCACAATGTGTTATATTTTAACTTTAGTTGTCAAAACAGGAGAGCAGGAGTCTTACAAAACATTGGACCTGAAGTTTAGGAGTAAAACTCAGCACCTCTCCAACACCTCTCGTCCCCTTCGTGGGTTCTCCATGAAACCCTCGCAATATAAAAGAGAGTTCTTGGTAGAACCCAGGGGGTGGGTTTAAGTGGAAAGGTTCTGGCAAGAACCTCTAGAGAGACTTCTGGGGGGAACCATGACACCAAAGAAGGTTCTCTGTAGAACCTCTCATAGCAGGATCTGAGTGGAACCTTCCATAGATGGTTCTAGGTGTAACCCTTTATGTTGGGCTCTAGGTCGAACCCTCTGAAAGGGTTCCACCAGGGTTTATAAAGGTTCCACTAGGAACCAAAAAGGGGGTCCTTTATTCGTAAGAGAGGACGGCAGACTGATCACAAACTGCCGTCGACAGGAAGAAGACGGATGGAGCTTCCTGTCAGCCCAGAAAAAGAAACAGGTAGCTCTCCGGGGTTTGGCGGCGATTGCTGTTAAATAAAAAGGTCTGCGCTCACCTTGACGTTTCCTCCGATCAGGTCAGGTGGCTCGTCGTCCGTCTCCAAGGCGACGTTGATGGTGGCGAAAGGCCGGCTGGCCATCTGTTGCATCTCTCTCAGCAGTTGCTAGGGAGGAGGAGGAAGAAGAAGAGGAGCAGACAGATAAACACAGACTGTTCGTTGTCTTTCATCCGCAGTTACTGGATAGAACGTATTAACGCACTGTTGTTTTTGAAGGACTACTTCACACACAACTTGAAATCGAGGAGGCGATGATGGAAGAAATACTTTTACTGAAGAAAAAAAAGAGCGATATACTGTGCTGTAGGTAGAACTCATCACTCTGACAGTACAGATAATCATGTAATCAATTAAGAATGTGAATACATTCATCGGTGCAGCTTTAAGTTTGGGAAGTGGAAGTGATCATTAACCAGGATGATGCTTTTAATGCTTTCTAGCTCCTATACTTCCTGTTGGCCACCTGTAAAAAGTGCGTTTTATAAGCACATTGTTTTGCGTTCATAGTTGTCAGATTAATATAGTGGAGTGAAAAGTATTTCTTAATTTCCCTGATAAATGTTGTGGTACAGAATAAACAACCACATCATGGTACTAGTGCAGTAAAGTACCCTTTGAAAGTCTACTTGAGTAAATGTAGTTTGAACGTAGCTTTTCCACCACTGCAAGGCGGAGCAGTCTCATTGTGCTCTGATTTATATCATGGACCTTGGCCAGAGGAAGAGGAGGGAGGTGATTATGAGGGAAGGAGAGGGGAGGAGGAGAGGGGAGGAGAGGGGAGGAGAGGGGAGGAGGAACAGGAGCTGAGGAAAGAAAGCACCAAAATAAGGCAAATTAACAGGAACAGGGAGAGAGGTGGATGCGGAACGTAATGATGTGAACGATGCAGAGGGTGAGGAGAAGAGGGAGGGGGACAATGAGGGGAGTGAAAGAGGAGGTAAGACCACAGCAAACAAGGCGATGCACCTGTGTCGTCGCCCGCCAACGCAGCCAAAGTGCTATAAATAGAGACACAGCGTCAACTGTCAAGACCCGATAGCAAGCAGTGCACCACTAGACCCAAAACCAAAACACCTGCAACCAACGCACGAGCACGAGGAAGTCAAACATCTACCCGTAGCTGATCAGTGTGTAAATACATCTCAGAGGCTTCAGCACATAAAGGACGTGACGACGGAGAGTGATGCGGTTCACGTGTGAAGAGTTTTACATGTAGACAACGTGTAGACCCGTTGGCCTGTGTCTCATTAGAGTGAGCTGTTGGCAGAGAATAGGTGCAAGTAAAGGGCAGCAGTGCAACATGAAAACACGCACTGTAGAAATCACACATGGCCTTTTTCTGTGTCGATGCATGTTCACACCTCAAAGAACAAAGGTCAAAGCTCGCCTCAACAGTTTGTAATTAATCTGCTGAGCGTTTTCATCCCCCTGTGAGACTGTCGATTGTGTCTATTGACTTGCTCGCCTTTCCTCTCTTAATTAAATGCCTTATAATCATATCCTTAGCGAGGGTTACAAAAAAAGCTTCAGGGAAAGTCTCTTTCTCTCTCCAGCATAGCCGGAGAAGTGAAACAGAAATGTCTAAATGTAATGTCCCGGGTTCTCTTTGTGGAGCGAGCCAGCTCATTAAATTCCTGCATGTGTCTGAAGCCTGAAGCCAAATCTCCCAACGCTCTTCTCTGCTCAAACAGCTGGCGAGGAGGAGACCAACCTCTACTTTCCCTGAGCCACTACTTTTAAAAAGAAAGATTTAGCATTGAGGCAATATGCTTATTCACATTTCTGCCGACTAATAAATGAGATCGATACCATTTTTTATACCCATTAAATATGCGGCTACAGCCAGCGGCTGGTTAGCTTAGCAATAAAAAAAAGAATAATCTGAAATATGGGGAAGCTGCTCGCCTGGCTCTGCACAAAGGCAGCAACATGTGCCAGCATCACTAAAGCTCGCTGTTTAACATTTAACTTGGACTTCTGTGAGGTTACCTTTGATTCACTCAGGCTAGCTGTTTCCCTCTGTTACCAGTCTTTATGCTAAGCTAACGTCATATTCATATTTAAACGATGGCAATGAGAGTGGTGGATGGACGGTAATATTTTAAGCACAGGCTCAACGGGCCATCAAGCCTCTAAGTTTAGTGGCCAAAGTACACTTTTTGTGGCCCAAAAGTAAACTTATGTTTAAACATTTAACACAACTTAACGCAGCCTTTCTCAACTATGACACTTCCATAAATAAAAAGATATTAATAGAATGAAAATATATAATTATTTATCTAAATTGAAAACTCTCTTCGTTCATTGAGCCAATGAACCAACCTTTATCTGACAGGTGACCTGATTAAACCTGCTGTCCATCTTGTTATCCAACTCTCAGCAGTTAAGCAAACTTTCCTCTCACATTTTATTATTTATTTTGATAACGAGTCATGCAAGTCATTTATATGTGCAATTACAGCTTCTCAAATACGAGTATAACCATTATGTTACTTCATTTCATGGGTTTTTTTGACAGTTTTTCAGACATTACTTCTCCTTGTAATTGGGACGGCAATCATTATTCCTGACATGAACCAAAGGATGAATCAATTAATCACATTGGCAGATGAATCGGTACATTATTCACACTGCAGCCACTTTAATGTCATCTGATGGAGGATGGTGCACAACCTACTTGGATACTGCATGAATTAATATTAAGATATTATAGTGAGTGAGTTAATAAAACATGAAAGTACTTTATAAAACAAAACAGAATTAGAAATGATTGTGGAGGAGATTAAGAAATGACAAGCTACAAGCAGACACTGTGAATAGAAACACTAATGCATAACAGTAGAACAGTAACATCCATGAAGTATGAATGAATCCCAGCACAAAGCCTCATTACCACGAACATGAATATAAACAGGCTGAAGCCTCCGACGTGCCCGGTCCAGTGGCTTGTTGCGGTGCACTCGTCGCTGCCACCAAAGCAGTCAACGCGCAGCAACAAATGAAAATGCAAATGAGCAACTCATTGTGCCGAGTCCCCGATTTGTCATGATTAGACGTCCCACTGTGCGAAGCATCTGAGAGCCAGAATATGTAGCCCTAGTGGGTGTGATGACTGTGGGTGTGAGTACACTGGGGACTCTGCCATCTTGCACTGGAGTCTGGCTTTGACACAAATTAGAAACTATTAACACTAACTCTCGTTAAGCACTAATAAATTCTGCGACTTTCTGGCCGACCGACCAGAGCTCAACACTCCTAAGAGTCAGGTTTCACTCCGAGGGAAGATAATGGACCTCACGACTGAAAGAAGTTCTTGCAACTTCATTCACAATGACGCAACGGGCCGAGCCGGGCAGGAACACATCACAGTCTGCATCTGTTTGGCAAACAGCATGCAGGAGAAGTGAGAATCTGCATGCAGACGCATCCTTTTTCATAATCGGAGCTCCTTGATCAGCACAAAGCAACAGGATTGATTTACTGGATAAAGAGCAGATGGAGGAGCATCTGAATGTTGCGGTAAACAAACTTTATAGATTCAGTCCAGCTCCCTCAGCCTCTCTGCAAACTGCCTGGCCTCTTGTCTAACACAGCGCTCACCTTTGTTTAAACACAGCGACACCCGGCTGCGTTCTTCCTCCTGTTCACAATACAAATATCTCTCCTGTACAACAGGGAGCTGTCCACACTGGATCGTACTGAATCGTACTGAATACTGGATACTGAACAATAAGCTGCTCCAATGGCGCTTCTTGCTCAACGCCAATCAGAGTTCTGCAAGTTTCATCAACCTGAATTTAACACATTTGTTTATTGACAGTTAATAACAGACCAGAAAACTACACTTCTTAAAGGGAGAGAGACGCATTTTAATGTCTTCAAGACAATATTCTTGGTAGAATTTGATTTGTTTTCACAAACATGTTCACCAATTTCACAACTTGAGGACAGCAGAACCAGCTGTAAAGATAAAATGTAATTATTATTACTCCATAAAGTTGTTGTTTCTTGTCTTGCAGATACACAGCAACATTATCATTTTATGAAAATTGTGTTTCTGTGCATCTGAAAAAGTCCAAAATTCACTCCCCTTTTTGGTCTCCACCGTCTCCCGAGGGAAACATCTGGGAAACATCTGGCCGTCAGTGCTTCTCTATGTTCAACAGCCAATATGTAATGTAATGCATCAGAAAGCAAAATTAAAAGAATGTGAATAAAGACAAAATATCATAAAATGGTTGGACCACGAGACATCATTTCTTTATTCTTTTCTTTCTCCGAGAACAAAAACAACCTCCCCTACGGCTCCACTACACCTCCACATACACACTCACAGGAACACTACGAGACAGACTGCCCGGCACCGCCGGCACCGCCGCTACCAAACATCCCCGCAGCATTAGATCCAACATTTGTAATTCATTTATTTTTGTTTGTTTTACCCGTCGTGTTAATCATGTCACCATTAGCTTCACTAAATAGACATATAAAACAACAATAACAACAATAATGTAATGTAGTCTCAAATATAAAAGACATCTTCACACTTACAATAGCTACCGTCTGCTACTGGAAATTACTTTTTTGAGTCTGAACCAAAGAAAACATTTGAGGGCTGTATCATGACATCAGCATGGATCCTGTATCCATGGCCACAACAACAAAAACAACAGAGAGCCAGAACAATGTGCTCAACAACAATACAGTTAAAGGGGTTGAAGAGAACGTAGTCCTCTTACAACATGGGTCCTTTTAGCAAAGTGCTGGCCCTCATTCTGTTTCGCTATGATAACATTTTACCCTCGGAATCACCTCCTGAGGTCTGGGAACACATCAGATGACCACATCACTACAATAGAGTCCAACACGGCAACAAACACCATCAAACGCGGACTAATCAAACACGCTGCTACATCACCAGCATTCTGATTGAATTGTTTATGTGCCGACAGAAATGCTGGCCAGAAACTACAGAAAACACACTGAACAAAAGATCTGATATAGTTTAGTTATAAGTGATGCGTTTTCAAAATGAAGTCCTCACATCTACAGTTTACAGTCGTGTCCCTAGTGACCACACTGAGCAGCTGGTCAGAGGTTTCACA